TGGGAGGCTCGAGCTGTTTGTTTAGGCAGGTAAAGCCTGGGAGGGAAGTAAAAAGAAAGGCCTGAGCCGCCACCTACACTGCGGGCTGCCTCGGGGCCTCGGAGCGCCAAGTTTTCATTCCAGAATGTGAGCTGCTGCTGGCTGCCCGCGACAGAGGCTCCCCCCGCCCCCCGACCTCGCAGAGCGCTCTGGTCTCGCTGGGCCCGGCTCAGGGGCGCGTTCCCGCGAGCCCCAGGACAGCATGTTCTCAGGCTGCCTCGGAACTCCAGTACCCACGAGTCATTTTGGGGGTACCCCCAATTGCAGAAGGCAAAAAGAGCCACACGGCCATAAACAGAGCAAGAGGTGTCGAAGGAGGTATCAAGATCAGAGTTCTCATCCTGTTCACAGCTCAGTTAACGTGTGACCCTGGCTAAGTCTCTTCACAACTGTAGTTCTTGTTTTTCCTCATCTTAAAAATGAGCGATTTGGGCCCGATCATATTTAAAGTCCTTGGCTCTAAGATTCTGCAACACTGAGGAACACCGAGATCTGGTTCTTGTTCCTCAGTCCCAAACAGTTTCCCACCCAGCAGCCCCAGCCCTTTTCTTAACACAAGAATGGAATCCTATCATTTACCTCCTTGAGAGCAGCATCTGCCTCTCTCCCCGCCCCTTCTCCAGCTATTTCCAACCTCAGGTCTTTGCATGTGCTGTTCCTTTACCTGCAACCTCGCTTTCTCCCTTGGCTAACTCCTAACTCATCCTTCAGGCCTCAGCATAAATGCCACCTTCTTAGGCCCTCCCTGCACCCCGATCTGAATTAGGTCCCACTGCTAATTTCTCTTATGACACCCTGTGGTTTTCAATCATATCACATATCCAAAACTGTAATTTTATAAGTTTGTATTTACGTGCTTAATGTCTTCTCCACTGGAAAAGACAGAAGCCACTTCTGTTCGGTTTTGTACCACATCCCCAGTGCCTAGAACAGTGCTGAACACTCAATAAATATTAGGTTGAATTTACTCAAAAACGATCTTCAGGAGAGTAAACAATCATTGTACCCATTTAACAGAAGAGGCTGTGGGCGCTCAGACAGGTTAGGTAACTTACCTACATTTAAATAGCCTACAGGTGTTCAAATCTGTCTCTGGTCTTCTGTTTCTGTTAGGCAATTATATAAAATAATAGGCCATCCAAGAGGGAGCAAATGAATGCGAGACCAGATGGTGTTGGGTGTTGTGGTTTTGCTTCTGCCACCCAGGGCTCTTTCTAGCCCAAGGAAAATTCCATTCACTATTCAGTCAACAGGTATTTATGGATCACCTATTATGAGCCCAGCAGCGTAATGGTAAACAGGAGAGTTCCCTTCCAGAGCTTAATGGTTAGTATGAACCTAGAGACCACAAACTGCAACCTTACCTAGCAATGAGCACTGTGTCCATTTAGTAAAAAAATTTGGTCAGGTATTCTGATATTTTGTTGATTTCTCTTATGATATGTGGTAGGCTTAGCCTATATATATAAAATATATCTTTATTGATTTCAGAGAGAGGAAGGGAGAGGGGAAGAGAGAGAGAGAAACATCAATGACAAGAGAGTTGTCACTGATCGGCTGCCTCCTGCATGCCCCTGACTGGGAATCGACCCTGAAACCTGGGCATGTGCCCTGACCTGGAATCAAACTGATCTCCTGGCCTCTAGGTCCATGATCAACCGCTGAGCCACGCCTGGCTGGGCTTAGCCTATATTTTTTATTGAACTAAAAAACGCATTCCCACACCTGGTAGAACTTTTTTTTTAAATTTAGACTGCTGTTTTTTTTGGATTAGCAATGGGGTCTGGGAGGCAACTATGGTACTTCTAAAGGAGAAAGATGTTGAAGCAGGGAAGCATTACACATGGCAAGAGGCTTCTCTGGGCACCATTCCCTTAGCTGTGATCTAGAAGCTGGCCCTGCCGTCAGCTCTACCACACACAAAACACCACCATCACCACTACCAGGTGACTGAGTCAAAATGACATAAAGGGGAGGGGACTCAGGATCAAGCCCCAGCTCTCCCTGATAGCTAAGTCATGTGATCTCTGGCAAATCACTGCCGTTCCAAGCTCCAGACTCCTCATCTGGCCCAAATGGCTTTCTAGCGATGAAGCATCTCTGAAATGAAGAACTGTCTCCATTACTTTATTTCATCACTTATTGAGCAAGCATTTATTAATCATCTGCTATGCACCAGGCACTCTGTTCAGCATTGGGACACAGCAGGGTGCAAAACTATCTGATCTCGTTCCTGAGGAGCTTATAGTCCAAGGGGAGAAAGTCTGATATAACCGTCAAACAATCCAATTAAACAATCACCCACCAATCCCCTTACACATATAATTACACACTGAAATGAGTGCTAAAGGGTGATCACATCAGTGTGCAAAAACCCTGCTGCAGAAAGGCTCCTGTACATTCAAGGAACCAGAGAAAGGAAGCATGGCTGGAGGAGAGAGAA